AATTTAATGTGGTGTGTTAATGTAAATTGCCTCCAGCATCAATTGCATTAGCAGCACCATATAAATAAAACAGTTATTACCTCCATAACAAAATGACAAAGAATATACAAAGTGACGCTCTCCGATATTAAATTAGACCAAATAAAGTTTCTCAAAGAATAGCATACAAATAAGGTACCATAATACTTCTTCTTCTAGGATGGATCATAGGACTGAATATTCAGATTTCTCCCGCCCCCCCTTAAATAATAAGAAAAAAAGATCGAAAATCAGAGTTGAAACTGTGAGCTACCTAAAAACAGCACGCGTGACAATGTTTTAATAAGGCAAGTAGGGCTATTGTTGCTTGAAAAATTTAGCAAAGGGTATGAAATGTTTCACTTGGATACACTTTGCTTTATTAAGCAGATACAGAGATTTTTTTTTCCTTGTGCATGTGTGTGTACATTATGTGTTATATTTTTTATTATTTGAAGCAAATAAAATACCTAACCGAGCTGAAACTAATATTTGGATGCATTGTGAAATCTCGCTTATTAATAACCCAAAAACAATTCAGGATGGTGAGGAACAGATTCAAGCTAGGGAATGTGAATCTTTGAATCACCCAGACTTTAGAGAATTACAGATTACAGATTAACAGAGTTGGAAGGGACCTTGTAGGTCATCTGGTCCAACCCGCCCCCGCCAAAGGAAGAGACCCTACACCATTTCTGAAAATGGCAGTCCAATCTCTTCTTGAAAGTCTCAAGTGATGAAGCTCCCAGAACTTCCAAAGGCATCTTCTGTTCCATTGGTTGATTGCTCTCACTGTCAGAAAATTTCTCCTTATTTCCAGGTTGAATCTCTCCTTGTTCAGTTTCCATCCATTATTCCTTGTCTGGCCTTCAGGTGCTTTAGAAAATAGCTAGACCCCTTCCTCTCTGTGGCAGCCCCTCAAATATTGGAAAACTGCTCTCCTGTCTCCCCTGGTCCTTCTCTTCACTAGACTAGCCACGCCCAGTTCCTGTAACCGTTCATCGTATGTTTTAGTCTCTGGTCCCTTAATCATCCTGGTTGCTCTTCTCTGCACTCTTTCTAGAGTCTCAACATCTTTTTTTATGACCAAAACTAGATGCAGTACTCTAGGTGTGAACTTACTAAGGCTTTATAGAGTGTTCTTCTTTAGTTCTGAATGGGGTTACATCCAGGTTCTCCAAAACCTGTTCTGACAGGATTTGGAGAACCGGTAGTGGAAATTTTGAGTAGTTCAAAGAACCAGCTAATACCACTTCTGGCTGGCCCCAGAATGGGGTGGGAATGGAGATTTTGCAATATCCTTCCCCCAGGAGTGGGGAGGGAATGGGGATTTTGCAATATCCTTCCCCCAGGAGTGGGGAGGGAATGGGGATTTTGCAATATCCTTCCCCCTGGAGTGAGGTGGGAATGGAGATTTTTGCAGTATCCTTCCCCTGCCGCGCCCACCAAGCCACACCACGCCCATCAAACCACACCCACAGAACCGGTAGTTTAAAAAGAAAAATGAATTCCACCACTGGTTACCTCTCCCTATTTGGAACCGGTGTAAAATCTGAGCTTTCTTCCAAACTAGCGGCTTTAGATAAGAGTCAACAGAATTCAAGAGAGGTTTTGACTTAGACGGTTTGTGGGAACGTAACAGTTCTAGGCTGATTACTCACTTCATTCCACCCTGAAGGCTCTGCCTCTTCTTCTCCTACAGCTTCTCCCTCCAAACATTTGTGCTTTCCTCCCCCCACAAAAAATTGTTCTCACTCACTCATTCTTTCTCAAACACTGCACTGTTTAATCCATCATCAGAAGGATAGTTGATTATTCTCCTATTGATGTTTTTCCTTCTCCTTGGCCTTCTTTCTGAGCCGATATTGGTTTGAGCGTCCCTGGGATTCTCTCTGTTTTGATTTTCTATAAGCTTCAAAGCACAATGAATGGCCGTGATTTTAATAGGCTTAATTGATATAAAAGTCTAATTTGTCTCCTACAATTTATCATTCTCCCATCAGTATAAATAGTGGAAATCTTTGCCCCTCTACCAGATGATTGCCAGGTTTTTATTACTATTAAAGTATAAGAAGGCCAGTACAGAAGCATTTCCTTTTCTGCATAACTAACATCATTATCTAATTTCCCTTTTTTATCCAGATGGTTTTGTTAAAATACATGAAAGTTTATAAACTATGGTAAGTATTAGGGTGTAAGATATAAATGGTATTGTTTTCTCCTTGGTAGTTCCTTGATTAAGGAATTAAGGATTGATTAATTAATTAATTGATTAAGATTCACTAAGGCTGCATTACTATTACTATTAGTCTTCTCATCGTTCCTATCACCCATCTCCTCCCACCTATGATGGCATGACTGTAACTTTGTTGCTTGTATCCTTATGACTTATACTGATATTGATTGTTTCCTAGTATGGTTTGATTGCTTATTTGTACCCTATGACTATCGTTAAGTGTTGTACCTTATGATTCTTTTTATGTACACTGAGAGCATATGCACCAAAGACGAATTCCTTGTGTGTCCAATCACACTTGGTCAATAAAGAATTCTCCATAGCAGTGGTTGCAGTGGTGGGTTTCAATTTTTTTTACTACCGGTTCGGTGGGTGTGGCTTGGTGGGAGTGGCATGACTTGGTGGGTGTGGCTTGGTGGGCGTGGCAAGGGAAGGATACTGTAAAATCTCCATTCCCTCCCCACTCCAGGGGAAGGTTACTGCAAAATCCCCATTTCCTCCCTATCAGCTGGGACTTGGGAGGCAGAGGATAGATGGGGGAGGGGCCAGTCATAATTTTTACTACTGGTTCTCTGAACTATTCAAAATTTCTGCTACCGGTTCTCCAGAACTAATCAGAACCTGCTGAATACCACCTCTGGTGTAATGCAAACTCTGCAAACAAAAATAAGGTCTCAGAACTTTTGAAATATTTTAACTGTAGCCATAGGATTATTGTCTTACTTGAACTCATAGTGTTCTTTATTTTCTGATGTGAAGAAGGCTTTATGCTTAGTCTACTTTGAGCAACGCCCAAGAAATGTGTTATCTGTCCCACCTGAATATGTTGAGTATCTACAGGTAGCAGTCCTCCGTTCTGGAAGCTATTCAAGGGCCCATGTTTGCTTTTCCGTTGAAGGAAGTCAGAAATAAATGGTAGGGGATATTTCAAATTGTGTATATTTGCATTGATTTAAAGTGGTCTCATCGGTCTTGTCTACAAGGCTTGGAATAAGCAAGGCATGGTAATAGCATTTATTGTAATGAAAACAGCTGTACAAACAAAATTTTGGATAAAGGGGGATCCAGGTTCTGTATGCTTTCTTTGAGCCGAGTGATTTGTGCCTTCACAAATTTGCCTATTTATTTATTTTTTGCTACCTTTTCTCTCGCAGCTTTATCTCTGCGCAAACACGAACCTGCATGGGTCTGAAATGGCTGTTGTAACTGTCACCTGGGCATCACTGAGAAGTGATGTCTGCATTTTCAATGCATCAGGGCTGTCACTCTAAATCAGACAAAGTGTCACAGGTTTCATTTCTAATAGGAACCTTCTAGATAGTTCCAGAGGTTTTACAGCTCCCGGGGCCCCCAAATTCTGCCCGTCCCTTATATTTTATAGAGACAGATATATTGCCTTGGGCAAAATGTTTGACTTAGTCATTCTGATAAAAAGCTGTAGAGAATAGAATAGAATAGAATAGAATAGAATAGAATAGAATAGAATAGAATTCTTTATTGGCCAAGTGTGATTGGACACACAAGGAATTTGTCTTGGTGCATACACTCTAGGTAGATTGATAATCATTAATTACTCTCCCCCCTTCCATTATGGCTACATTCACACATTGTGCTAAATTCAGGAAAGGCAATAAGGTGTGGATGAAGTCTTTTTTGGGGGGGAGGTACTGGATATTTATACAACATTTCATGGGTAATAAAAAGTAGGCATTTCTTGAGTTTTGACTCATAAAGGACTTGAGCTTAGACCTGTGAAACAAGGTTTGAGATGGACTACCGTAAAGAAAGCTGGTTATAATAAAGAACTTAATTATCTCTCTAATCCATCCTTCTGACCAATTACTCAGGAGAAGAACCCTAACCCTAAACTACAGATTGAGAGGGAACCCAAAGGAGATCCTCCCTAGGTGATCTAAAGCCATGCAAAGGTCACAAAATATCAAGATTTCCAAGCTATGGGATGATGTACTTGTACTTGTGTCAAACCTAGTGTAGAATAGCCAAAAGGAATTATGAGCATTCATTTTCTAAAACTGAAACAGATGTGATTGAACTGTTTGGATAGTTTAGCTGCAGTGGTGCAGTGGTTAGAGTGCAGAACTGCAGGCTACTTCTGCTAACTGCCAGCTGCCTGCAATTTGGCAGTTCGAATCTCACCAGGCTCAAGGTAGACTCAACCTTCCATCCTTCTGAAGTCGGTAAAATGAGGACCCAGATTATTGGGGGCAATAGGCTGATTCTGTAAACCGCTTAGAGAGAACTGTAAAGCACTGTGAAGCGGTATATAAGTCTAAGTGCTATTGCTCTTAGGAGTCCTGGTAGGGCAGTGATTAGAATACAGTATTGCAGGCTAACTTTGTCCATAGTCTGGAGTTCAATTCTGAATGGGACAAGATTGACTCAGCCTTCCATCCTTCCAAGGTCGGTAAAATGAGGACCCAGATTGTTGGGGTCAAGATGTTAACACTGTAAACTTGCTTAAAGAGGGCTGTGAAGTATATAAGTCTAAGTTTTATTGCTATTGCTATTCCAACTTTTCCCTCCCCAAATGTGTTGGAAAATTCTACTTCAATTTCCAGTATAGGATATATTTGTTAATATAAGTCAAATACTTGCCTTAGCTAATACTTTGCCACTGCTTGTTAAAGACAGGATTTTTTTTTTTAAAATGAACTAACCGCTCCTCATTCTTTGCATTTATTTTCTCCAAATTAGTATGTCAAAAATACAACTTCATTCTGTGCTTGTGAGTTTATCAGAGTATCTGGTCATCTTTATTTAGAAACAGAATATAGATACATACTGTAGCTCTTTAGCCTGATCTTATAGAGACATTATTTTGCTTTCTATGAATTGAACAAAGTTTTAAAAAAATATTCTTCAAAGCATTATTCTTATTATTAGTGAAGTTTATTAATGCCTAATTTATAACCTACAGAATTCTTGTCTTCTTTCTTTCCTTAACCAGTTGGCCATGTAGACTTGGTCACTGGAGTTAAAAACCTGATCTGCCTAGAGTTGTCCTACAGCATTTCTAGTTTAACCAACCATGCTTAAAAGTATTTCTAGTTTAACCAACTAAGCAAGCCCAAAAGCATTTCTAGTTTACAAGCGACATATTGTTGACGTGAATTAACCAGTTCTGAAAGAATAGACATTAATGTGGTGATGAACTGAGATGCATGGACATTTTATTCTGTGTAAATGACTTTCTTGTTCAAATGCAACGTGTTGCTGGCACACCAATGTTCTCCATGTCTTCTTGACTTTCTAAATCAATATTAAAACAAAATCCCAGTTATATCTATATAATATAATAATATAATAAATAATAATATAATAATATAATATAATATAATATAATATAATATAATATAATATAATATAATATAATATAATATTATAATATAATATAATATAATAAATATATTAATATAATATAATATAATATAATATAATAATATAATATAATATAATATAATATAATATAATATAATATAATATAAATATACATGAGCATATACGCTGAGTGTCAACTTGCAAAGCTTTCAAGTTGCCATGAGCAGGAGGGAGGGAGAACTGAAGTGAATTCCATACATTCTTTCTGACCGCAATCAGAAGGAGGGTGCTAGGTTTCACAGCCAGCCAAAGTGGGTAATTGGAGAATGTGATTTATGACATGGCCAGAGAGGAGGGGAGAGACAGGGTCATAGGGGAACGTAAATCTACGTAGGATCAGTCCTAACTGCATCCGAGTATTGCCGGAATGGTGCTCCTAATAAATGAATATATTTCCTTTGAAGTTTGGATCATGGCTCATGAATTAATTAGGGCATCTTTTGGAAACTTGACACCGAAGTCATTTTTTTTATTATTACAATCCATTAAAAAAAGAAATCACAAGGTGAAAGAGGGCATAGACAACAACATTAATTCATTTCTTTGCTGGAATAAGAAAAACCTTGGGTAAACAGAGACCTATTCGGATTAAATTAGATCCAAGCTTGCACTGGATTCTCCCCACCATCACCAAAATATCTGAAGGACAATCCAGATTGGTTGGGTGAAGTGGTTAAATGGAAAAACAACTCGCTTCAGGTGAGAAAGGAATAAAATTCTTCCCCAGATCAAATTAAAAAGCAAGCCAGAAAAGAATTAAGAAAACAGTAATGTTCACCCTGCATTGATAGTAATTTCCATGAACAGCTGACACTTGTATTTCTCTGGTGAGATATAGTTTGAGATTAAAATTCTTAACAAATAGAAAAAATATTAGGATAATGCCAGTGCTTACCTAGAAAGTCTTCTCATTTGATTCTATTGGTAATTAAGTTCTTCTCATGCATATTAATTTTTTTTTATACGATTTTATCCTGGAAAGCATTGGTATACAGTGTTATAGAAATATTTGTAGCTGGGGTACATAAATGATATGCATTTATTTATTTATTTGTATGCACTCATGTTTACCATCATTTCTATGCTGCCAACTCACCAGACTCTAAAACATATGTATTATCAGTTAAAATGTACACAAAACACATTCTATAGAGAGTTGCGGATTAAAAAAAATGCTTATTTTGTGAAATGAATTAAAATGAGACGCACGTTTGAAAATTGGTCGAGCAAGAAGTGAAAAAGACATGCAAACCCGACAGCGATTGCAAATAGACTGGATAGTTAGCCCTTCCTCCTTCCTCATAAAAAAAACTAATGAGTAAAGACTCTCAAAATAAAAGAAGAGTGAGCATCAAAATCTATGCAACAAAAACAGTGAAGTTTTCTCTAGGAACACCAACAAAATTGGAGAGTTTGGAGCAGGCTCATCCCACCAATATAGAAGACTTCGTTCTAATGTTCTGATCTGACTTGGAACTGTTCCTTTTAGACCTTTGACAAATATGGACTATCTTGATCTGTCGTTCGTACGGTATTTTATTTTGGGGATTGTTCTGAGTTAAGCCCGTTACTTTCTCCTTACAAAACGAGTTGCCTTTTGTAGCGCCTTCTTCTCTTGCAAATAGAAATAAGTCTGTCATCTGCACCTCTATAACTGTCTGGTTTGGTTCTGCAACCCAACAAGACAGACACAGACTTCAGAGGATAATTAGAACTGCAGAAAAAACAATTGCTACCAACCTGTCTTCCATGGAGGACCTGTATACTGCACAAGTCAAAAAGAGGGCTGTGAAAATACTTACGGATCCCTCACATCCTGGACATAAACAGTTTCAACTCCTACCCTCAAAATGACGCTATAGAGCAGTGCACATCAGAAGAACTAGATACATGCCACACCCACCAAACCATGCCCACAGAACCAGTAGTATTTTTTTTTAATCCCGCCACTGGTCCGATCATATTGTACCTGTGCACCAGGGGTGAAATCCATCAGGTTAGAACAGGTTCTGGAGAACTGGTAGCGGAAATTTTGAGTAGTTTGGAGAACCGGCAAATACCATCTCTGGCTGCCCCCAGAGTGGGGTGGGAATGGAGATTTTGCAATATCCTTCCCCTGGAGTGGGGAGATAATGGAGATTTTATTTTATTTTATTTTATTTTATTAAATTTCTATACCGCCCTTCTCCCGAAGGACTCAGGGCGGTGAACAGCCACGAGATAAAACACATAAATACAAAAAAATTAAAATGAATTAAAAACAAATTAAATAATTTGGCTGAATTTAAAATACCCCATAATTTAAAACAAATTAAAATTTACATTTAAAAAATTTACATTTAAAAAGGGGAGAAGATTTAGGCCAGGCCAGCTTGATGGAATAGAAAAGTCTTAAGCGCGTGTATTTTGCAGTATCCTTCCCCTGCCACACCCACCAAGCCACACCCACAGAACCGATAGTTAAAAAAAAAAAAAAAGGATTTCACTATGCTGTGCACATACATTTTATTGGTTAGTATATATTTTTCTTTCCATACGTAGAAGAACACCTGTAAGGATTTATTCCCCTCAGAAGATACATTTCAGTGGTTATGAATTTCTCTGAATCCTCTTATCCTTAGCAAAGGATATGTGTGAACCTCTTTCCTTGAAGAGTCGTTTTTTTTTTCCAGTGGCCTGCAATTTCCTTGCAGTTAAATCCCATGGGGACCAAAAATAAAAAATCCCTCTAAAGATTTTTTTTTTTTTTTTAGTTTTTGTCTTTCTCTTTTTTTTCCCAGATAATGTATTGAAGCCATCAAGGGATGTTACATCAAGATGGAGAAATTTGTAACAATAAAGACCATGGCATTTTCACTATCTTGCATCAATGAAGTCAGTTCAAAAGCATCAGCAAAATCAATTACAGAACCTTTTGAATGAGAAAATGGAAGGATTTTTGCCATTTGCTTGTTTCGAACACGGGATTCAGAAGCCAACCATAACTTTAAGATAAATTGGTTATAGTAGGGACCTGTGTTCTGAAATCTAATTGAATCAAGACACATCTGATTGGAAATTGTGTGTGTGTCGGGGGGGGGGGGATTAACAAGGCCAAAAGCCAGAGTAATTCAGGGAACAGAAAAAAAAAAACAACAAATTGTCCTTAATCTTAACTTCTGGTGCATCTAATCATGTTCAAGTAGGTATGTTTTTGTTTTTGTTTTTTTTTTGGAATTGACCTTCCAAGAAAATTTTGTAGTTTTTTTAAAAGTGTGTTCTCCAATTGTAAAGAGCAATTGTAAAGTTGACAGTGTGAAGCGGCATCCAAAAAAGCCAATGGAATCCTAAATTGCATCAACAGAGGGATACAATTAAGATCAAGGGAGGTACTAATACTACTCTATAAAGCCTTAATAAGACCACACCTAGAATACTGCATCCAGTTTTGGTCACCACACTATAAAAAAGATGTTGAGACTCTAGAAAAAGTGCAGAGAAGAGCAACCAGGATGATTAGGGGACTGGAGGCTAAAGCATATGATGAATGGTTGCAGGAACTGGGTATGGCTAGTCTAGTGAAGAGAAGGACCAGGGGAGACAGGATAGCATCTTCCAATACTTGAGGGGCTGCCACAGAGAAGGAGGGGGTCAAGCTATTTTCCAAAGCACCTGAAGACCAGACAAGGAATAATGGATGGAAACTGAACAAGGAGAGATTCAACCTGAAAATAAGGATAAATTTTCTGACAGTGAGTCAACACTCACTGGGAGGCATCCCTCCTCTTTACAGTAGTAGTTGGACAGTAGAAGACATCACAAAAGTTGCTTTAGGATCAGTGGTTCAGGTCTAAGTTTCATAGTGAGCCTCAGTGGCGCAGAGATTATAATGCAGTACTGCAGGCTACTTCTGCTGACTGCCGGCTGCCTGTAGTTTGGCTGTTCGAATCTCACCAGGCTCAAGGTTGACTCAGCCTTCCATCCTTCTGAGGTGGGTAAAATGAGGACCCAGATTGTTGGGGGCAATGACTCTGTAAACCGCTGAGAGAGGGCTGTAAAGCATTGTGAAGGGGTATATAAGTCTAAGTGCTATTGCTATTAGGAGCCCTGGTGGTGCAGTGGTTAGAATGCAGGATTGCAGGATAACTCTGCCCACTACCAGCAGTTCGATTCTGATCGGCTCAACATTGACTCAGCCTTCCATCCTTCCGAGGTGAGTAAAATGAGGACCCGGATTGTTTGGGGGCAATATGATGACTCTGTAAATCGCTTAGAGAGAGCTCTAAAGCACTGTGAAGCGGTATATAAGTCTAAGTGCTATTGCTATGCGCAGAGCAGGCATACTCTTTGCAGCCCAGGCTATTTGTGTGCGTTTGTACTAACAGTTTGTGAGTTTTCCTTGAAGCTTAGATTCTCTACGGTCTAGGAGATTAAATTTTGAGTTTCTGGCTCTGTTCCCAACTGGCTTTGTTCACAGCAGTGCACCAGACTATAAAGGTTGCCTCCTTTTTTAAAGCACCTTTGTTATCTTGAAAAAAAACATGTCAGTATTTAAAATAGCTGTACCTCTTGTTAAACAATCTACCCTCAGGCAGCCTAGGAAAGCGAAAAAATACATTTGAATCCAGGGAAATCTGAATGGTAAGAAGAAGAAGAAAATAGTCACCACAAAATACAATGATAACACATACAACATACTGTAAAAGTACTAGAGTTTGTAAGCAACCCAATCAAGGGTCATGAATTGCCAAGATGAATAGGAAAAAGAAAAACTTGCCTCATTGAGTACATATTTAGTTCCGGAAGACAATTCACCAGAAATTTCTTGGTATCATCATAATATGATTCATAGAGAGATATCTAAATTTGTAGTGTGTTTACCAGTCAGATGGGCATGTGAGACTAGATAACTGTACCAACTCAGGAAGCTCAAACTGCCCAAGGAGCTGCTGATACAGTTCTACAGAGGAATTATTGAGTCTGTCATCTGCACCTCTATACCTGTCTGGTTTGGTTCTGCAACCCAACAAGACAGACACAGACTTCAGAGGATAAGTAGAATTAGAATTAGAATTTTTTATTGGCCAAGTGTGACTGGACACACAAGGAATTTGTCTTGGTGCATATGCTCTCAGTGTACATAAAAGAAAAGATACATTCATCAAGAATCATAAGGTACAACACCTAATGTGTAGTCATAGGGTACAAACAAGCAATCCGGAAACAATATCAATATAAATTGTAAGGATACAAGCAACAATGAGAAAATTAATAGTAGTGCACACTTAGTAAATAGTTTGACAGTGTTGAAGGAATTATTTATTTAGCAGAGTGATGACATTCGGGGAAAAATTTGGGAACTGTGAAAATATCTACAGACCCCTCACATCCTGGATATAAATTGTTTCAACTCCTACCCTCAAAATGACGCTATAGGGCACTGCACACCAGAACAACTGGACACAAGAATAGTTTTTTCCCGAACATCATCACTCTGCTAAACAAATAATTCCCTCAATACTGTCAAACTATTTACTAAGTCTGCACTACTATTAATCTTCTCATCGTTCCCATCACCCATCTCCTCCCACTTAAGGCTGCATGCCTGTAATTTTGTTTGCTTGTATCCTTACAATTTATATCGATATTGTTTCAATATAGTGGTATACTGAATCATAGTATGATTTGATTGCTTATTTGTACCCTATGACTATAATTGTGTTGTACCTTATGATTCTTGACAAACGTATCTTGTCTTTTTATGTACACTGAGAGCATATGCACCAAAAACAAATTCCTTGTGTGTCCAATCACACTTGGCCAATAAAAATTCTATTCTATTCTATTCTATTCTATTCTATTCTATTCTATTCTATTCTATTCTATTCTATTCTATTCTATTCTATTCTATTCTATTCTATTCTAAGAGCCAGAAAAATAAAATAATTAAATAACATAAAATAAATAACACAAAGGGGAGTGTTACCCTGAAAGGATCAGGGACATCTTTTGGATATTCTGGAGCTAAAATTCTCAAGGTCTCCCCACCGAGACCCCCCAAAATATAAAATCTACAAGTGGGAAAGTGTG